TGCTGGGGACAGAGAGGGTAGACAGAGCCATGGGCTATGCTGAAGTTTAGTGCAATGGTTTGGAGGTCCATGGTGTGTATTGAACAGATAGAAGAGGAAGAGAGGCTTAGAAAATTCTTATTTTGACAGGAGGAGCTCTGTAGGGCACAGTTGCCTAAATCAGAACAGCAAAAGGGACTTTAATCAGGACAATATCCATGAAGAAGGAAGTCATGAATATATGGCTAGCAATAGAAACTCAGTTTCCAGCCTTTGAGCTCCCTTCCCACACAAACAGGCCAGCTATATTACTGTAATAGGAAAGGCATTGCTAACACATTAAAAGTAGAGATCAGTCCTTCCTCTGTGTGTCCATATGATATCATGCTTTTCAGATACACACTGTTTTATCTCATTTCTGAGGCTCCAAAATAACTTTTGGGGAAAGCAATGTGTGGAGCAGAAGGCGGGGTGAGAGAAGGGAAGAGTACTGCTATTCATCTCAGATGGAGAAAATAATAGGGATAGAATAATGGTCTCAAAGGTAATACAGTTAGTAATATTTTTGGTGGGCTGTCCAAAGAAAGTGTAACTCAGTTATTCTGGCTTAACAGTAGGTTTATTAAAAAAAAACAGTAGGTTGAAATAACAAGAACAGATAGGCAGCTATGAAGCAAAGCTGACTTAATCTTATTTTTCACCAGCAGTTGTCATTTATTTTTGCTTTTATGCAGACACCTCCTTACAACACCTTTGTTGTTACAGTTTCCTGTGGACATACCAGGGTCTCAAGACTGAAATGGCACATACCATCAGATAGGCAAAACCAGTAAAGGAATGGTGGCGGTCATGAGGAGATCATGAGATGCTGTGCTACAGAGTTTCACATTTCCAGTGGTTATATACTACTGAGTGAGGATTTCAGCTGTTGACTCAGATAGTCAAAACAGGATCTAAGCAGACTTTTTGCTCAGATACTTTTTGTATTTGACTTTGAAGAAGTCCTTTTCTCCCATACCTGAAGTGTATCTCATTATATTCACCCTCTGTGGGAAAAGGAATCTAAAGATTTGATCTGAGAAAAGCAAGGGACAAATTAGGTGACATTAGTGACATTTACTGCCAGGTTCATTACACTAGAAGTTAACCTAAAAATACCTCTCAAAACTTCTGTTTAGGAAACCAATTCTATGTATAATACTGAAAATCAGAAAATATTTTAAGGTGGTTTTAAAACCAGACTTTTCAGAAAATACTACATGCAGTAGATCTTTTTAATAGAGATTCTAAATAGAATCTAAACAGAATAGTAGTGCAGTTTGGAGGCTTTCCATGTTCTTCCTTTAGAGCTCTTTCCAGAAATACATGGCCTATATAATCAATACAGGTAATTATTCTTCAAAGAAATGTAGCTTGTTTCACCTCAACTTCTAGTCCACTTACACAGTTTATGTTCTCTTTATATTTTGTGACTAACAATTGGCAGGTGGTATTTGTTCATCTGATGAAGACTGTTCACGCTGATAAAAATACTGGGCGCCACTTCACTTCTCCAAAGTATCATTTTGTGAGCTCAGCAAACACATCTGCATTGAAATTAAAAGTAAGCTAATATGCGAAAAGACAGAATGAAATAAATATAGCACGTAGTTTTTTCTCTGACTCAGATCCCCAAAAGATATTCGATTGACTCTTTGCAGACTGTATCTTTCTTACATGATGCATTTGCATTGTCTGAGCTCCAAACCAACTTGATGTAAGCAAGCTCCATCGAAAAGCTGCACAGCTTTGCTTGAATAACACGTTAGCTATATCTGCCTATCAAAAGGTTGCAGCCATATGTCTACAGTCAAGGCCTGACTTTAAAATCAGACTTCTCAATTTGTATTCTGTGTGTAGTAATTTTATTTTGGGGCAAATTCAAGACTGTGACTAACTCTTACATGGTAACTGGGCAAACCACTGGTTAGTGCATCTGAGGCCATATTAATAACATCCTAATTTAAAGCACTTTCTTAGTGTCTCTCCAGCTGATGAATTAAAAAAATGCACGTAAAAGAAAATTGTAGGAGTCCTAAGAAAATTGCACTATATCACGTACCAACTAATTCTCAGCAAAATTGAGAAATCTTTTATCATAAGAATGTCATAAGTGCATAAAGCTTTTCTCCAGTGTATTTTTATTAGGGTTTCCTGCCATCATATCAACATACAAAACAATCAGGATGTTGACATATAGAAATGTGAAATTCACTGTACAAAGATAAGGCTCAAGTTACAGGTATATTTTCCCCTTAGTCTCCATGAAATAAAAGAGTTTTTAATTCTTCCCAGAGTTGTGTTTATAAATGTTAGACAAATCACAAAATATATTTCAAGTACATACATTTTACAATATAATCCAAACACAGACAGAAATACACAATACTGTACCTATAGATGCTCCATAATCCAAGTCTGTCATCCTCACCAATAAAATACTAGACTGCTACTCTCTCTGAATACACCCAACCATATCCTTCTGCATGTAATATGTGGTCCTGGCCTTTACATTATAGGATTCTCATGACTTTCAGTTAAATTACTTTGACAGACCAGAAAATACCAGGAAGGAAGTGAAGAATTTTAAAAGTCCAGGCCTGAATGTACTCACATGATTAGTAAAGGCAGGCACATGTGCACACATACACTTGCATTTAACCCTACATAAAATCTCACTGCACTGCACTTTTTTTGAGATTATGTTCTCATGCAACTCAGCTATTTTCTGATAGAGTTAAATCAAGCATAACAATACGCCTACTTCTGGAGTGCTGTAATTTACAGGGACAAGACTATATTTTAGAGCACAGGATCTAACTTTTTTTTTTTTTTTTTTTAATAATTACCAGACTTATACAGGAGCCTGTATGGAACCTTGTCTCTATAGTCCAGCAGGATGATGGTTCTCACAGCCTTTACCACTCGAAATACCTTTTCTGACACCTTTGTTTAGAAATAATGCAAGCAAGTGATTTCCCATTAAGGCCTAACATCTACTTTAGTTCACTCTCCATTTCTATCAGGCTGAATGATTATTACCTCAAGGAAAGGGATCACTTAGCTGCTAGTAGCACAAGAAGAAATACACATCAAGTAACTTACCAATAATGATTTTGGGGAAGAGATTGGCAAGGCCAAACACAGTCAAGAGGAAAAGAAGTGTTTAATTTAGCATTTGTTGGTCGGGAAATTAATAGGAATCCAAAAGTTTTCAAACAAGAAAGGGAACTCCTAAGCCCTGTATCTGTTTTGTCCTTTAAAAAGTGGAGAAGATTAAAAGGTAAGGAGAAATCCTCTAAGGAAATTGCCATTTTCAAACTAGACATTTGCAAAGGTTTACATGAGAAAACCAAGCAAAACTGATTCTCTGATATTAAAATGAAAGGAATTTATTTAGCAGGAAGTAGAGATGCAGTTACAATGTGTTAAATGCACATCTAATAAAATTGCCCCAAATATGTCTCCAATTCATAAATATCTAAGCAGAAGAAAGACTCTGAGGCCAAAATCAGAGTTCCCTAGTTTAAATACAAAATACACCTGCACTAAGACCAGGGAAGGGAAGACTAAATCTTTCTCTTCTTAAATACAACCTCTGCGGTATATTTGAGGGCCATCAAATGTTCTCAGCATTGACAAGAATTACTTAAGTATATTCTCTAAGCTATGTTAGAATACCTCTAGATATACAAATCCATTTTATGTGAAACAGCATTAGATCATGTAACTGGATTTGTAATAATAGGGATAGAGGGTAAATATGCTGCCGTAATGTAGGAAAGGAAGAATATTCGTATGCACAGAAAACACATTATCTTAGAGATTAGTAATGACAGGCATCAAGGATTAAGATGCATCTCTTAAAGCCTTTAACTGTGAGTCAGTAGAATACTTGTATGTCAACTGTCCAGCCTAATGCTTTGTTTTCAAAAAGAAATTAAAAAAATGTGTTCCTTTTCCTCCTTTTCTCCATAATTTTTAAAAGTAGGTCACTCACGTACTAATTTAAGTGAGGGCTTTGGCTTTTTTTTTTTTTTTCCCTACTTACTATTATCTACTTCGATGTTATCTAAAATAATCTACATTTAGACTGAACTAACTCTTTTCCAAAATGTCTCTATCTTGTAGAGGCTTTCTACAGCACTGATAATACATAAGACAACCTGACAGCTAAGAGGAAGTACTATTACTTTCCTTTCTCCTCACTTCCCTAAACTTTACAATTGTGCCTTTCAGAAATTCTTCTGCATACTTGGTGTCCTTTCACCTCCCCCAGGCAGCCCCTATTGAACTCGAGTGAACTTTCTATGTATTTCCCAAACCACAGTCTCTCTGTATAGACCTATATTAAACTCATTCATTCTGCAGCCACTAGTTTAAAAACAAGTCATTGCTAAAACACTAAAAACACCCCATATGCCCTTGTGCATTATTCTTACCAACTTGTATATTTAAATAACATCAGAAGTTGTCTTTTGCTAAAAAATTACCAAAATATTTTAAACACATAAAAGTCTAAAAAACTAAACAAACAGAAAAACAAACCCAAACCAAAAAACCAGCATAAACATTGCTTGTATAGGCATTGGTTAGAAGACTGCTGCACTAAGGAGTATATTCAAAACAGATATTCTTTCAGTTTCATTGGATTTAGTGTCATGGATTGAAAGGTTAAGGACAGTGAAACTTATTGTGACCCTATCTTATATGATGTACTACATGAGCAGGAAGTCTGAAATGCAATTAGAATAAATCTTCTTTATGGTTATTGAAACCTGACTGTAAAAGCCTGTAACTGAACAGGAAATTTAAGTATGCAAAGGGAACTTAAGAACTTGAAAAATCTATTAGTCTATCCATGTCTGGATATGAAGATAGCTACTGTCTGGAACAGCTACTGTTTCCAGAGGCATTATGGAAAGCTGGCACTAACTGAAATTTTGAATATAGCCCTTAGTTTTATCATATTTATTTAAAATTTAAAAGCTGCCCAGCATGTCACGAAGGAAGTTTATTTTGCAAGCTACCCACTGCCTAAGGGGGCAGTAATATTCAATATGAAACTGCTGAAACTCAGGTGTCTGACGGATTTCATGGAGAAAAGAGATTTGAAGGTCCGACTCCAAGAGAACAAGGAGAAGAGGAAACACAAACAATAACAGTCCAAGGCCTACAAAGAGAAGTCTGGAGAAACTCTTCACAAAGGCATTCACCTCTATGTTGCCCATTAGAAAGTCATAGCTCCACCTAAGCGCTCTCCGAGCTTCTTTCAGTTCTTCCTCCTCTGCAATCAAAAATGCATTTTCATCTGCTTCCAGTTCCTCAAATGAATCTGTATCATCTTTCTCATGCTCTACTCTTGGAGAGGTATCAAAGAGCATGTCAATCTCATCATCAACAGGAGTGGGCAGCATGCTGGCACTAGGATTGTATACCAGTTCTGAGATGGTTAAAGGTTCTTCTTTCATTTTCTCTTCCTGTTCAATGGCAAGGTCAACATTCTCCCCAGTGTCCTTAACTGGCGAGCTTGAGGTCACCGGCACTGAAATCTCATCTTCCTTTGGCAGTTGGACACCTGAAAAAAGGAGATGAAAATAGTGACCCTAAATTTCTGCCTTCCTGGTGGCAAAACTCAGACTTCCAGTAGTATCTAACAGGGATTGGAAAGAAGGTTCTGCAATCATTTTGCATTTTGAAACTAGACTATATGCAGTTTGTAAAAACTGGAAAAGCTTTTTAAAAAGTTCCAGAGGAGAGCAACATCTTTACAACACTGCAGTACACCAGATCCCCTTAGCTTTGTCTGATGCAGCTACCACTAGTAACAGTGTAACACAAAGAAAACAGACCAGCTGATTTTCTACTGGCAATCAGACTTCTAATGTAAATGAACACCTAGTACATCTGAATTGGTACTATTTGGTGGCCAATAATAACAACAACAACAACCCACCTTTATTTCTTTGAGGTGAATGAGAAGAAAGTGATAAGTTAATAGCTGAGGTTGGGAATTTTTAACAGAGCAGGAAATTAGAAAGAGACAGTAGATTAGCATTATAAATTCGCACTAAAAGTTGAGAAGATAAAAGGAGAGAACGTTTGACACACAGTATAAGGATTAGATATCATTGAAACAGAATGAAAAGGCCTTATCACTTTAAAAAGCTCCCTCTCTTCGTGTCTTATTTTAGTTCCAATCATCTTCCTATTCTTCATACTCAGAGTCTCTTTTCCCTCTCCTTTAATTTTGTCTCTTCCCCTCACAGAGGAGTCTTTCTTAGCCTTACTGGAATGCTTATTTCTTATGACTTCTCTCTCTGCCCAAGCTCCCTCCTCTCAAAACTCACTCCCCTTTTTCCAGTCTAATACTAACAGCAGTAAGTCTGCACAGAAATCTAACTGTTTTGTAGCTACATTAACACTGCAGAGGCTGCTGTTAGTTGTCAGTTGCAGGAGTGGAATGAAGAAGAGTCAGGAACAGAGCTCAGACAAACTGATGGGAAAAACAGTTTTAAATTTGTCCCATGTCCAACACTCATTACCATCATCAGGTGCCATGTATGCACAAAGAGAACAGACCATACGCATTATCATGTGCAACAGCAATACACAGTAACACTTGGTTCTTCTTATTTTGTGATGTTAAACATCTCTCCATTCTTTACTAATGACTAATCCGAATGCAACATACAGATAAATATATAGTAGGTAAAACCAATATAATGTTACATGACTTGTCCAACAAGCAACTCAGCAAATTCACATCAGAGTACTATTTATAATCCAAATTAGTCTATTTTTTTTTATTTCAGTGAAAGATCCATAAGAACGAACTGACACCATCAAAGATTCTTTTCAGTTTTAATGAAGTAAAGATTAAGGTTCAGAGACTTTAAAAAATATGGCATACTAGAAAATGTATTATTACAGAAAAACAAGTAATCAGAAAAGCAGTACGTCTCCAGTGCTAATTAGGCTAGACATAATGGTTTTCAGGTGAAGCAAATGAGTCTCAGAAAGTTCTATGAAAGTTTTCTATTAAAGGATGGAAAACATACAAAAATAAATTAAACTAAACAAAAGGCCCATTATGGTTATTGTCAGATGATGGAAATAAAAAATGACTTGAACCGTAAGATGCATCACTGCTCTGTAGACATATGATACAGAACAAAAATTGAAAAGCAAAAATGCCTATCACAAAGACATCTACAGTACAGGAAGATACACAACTTAGATGCATTTTGGATCATAATACTAAGCTACGATTTTAAACAGTAACTCAACTATAACTGACCAAAATTCTGCAAAGAATCTCACTTTGAAAACAGAAGCCTTTTCACATTTTTTCTTGATATGTCACTGATTTTTAGGTACTATTCAATACACTGAGATTATTAACTTTGTTGCTAAACCTAATTTCCTTCTATTTGACTAGGTAGCAAAATATTATTCTTGTGTCACTGCTAACAATCATTAAACCAGCAGTAGGCATAACTACATTTCAGTAAAATTGGGTGATACAAACCCTGCTCTGGACTTTCTCACTGTTACAAATTTTGCATTTCTTGAATGACAAGGTTTTACAATCTCCACTTTCAATTTCTGGTTTTTTTTTCCCTCCCCTCTTTGTTATCTACCATGACTACCATGCTCAGGACAGGACATATCCATGAAATTTCAGTTTCATAACTGATACCAGACCTGTGCACTACTACGTCAGTAGACCTGCCCTAGGCCAGACACAGGCACATGATCACATTTCTGTCAGATCCCAAAATACTCAGTATTTGCAGAAAAATTTGTCAAAGCGAAGTTAACATGTCAAAATGTGTAAATGAAGTTAAACAAGCAGATCATTTTGTGAAAAAGGGCTCCTGCACTAGGAATTGCTTGTTATGACACTTCTTCATGGAAATACCTGCCATTAATAGCCTGCTGTATGGCAGAGTGCCTGACAGTAACCACAAAATCCTCCATGCGACCTCTGCAGCTCTGTTAGCATGTTCTCCAGACACTCAAAAGCGCAAGTAAGGTACTTGCTAAGTTATCCCAGTCTAAGGACTTCCCAAAAATTGGGTGAGCAATGGCTTGTTAATATCTGGTAACTTTAAAATCATACTGAACTTGAAATGCCAATAAATGCACTATAGACTATGCAACATATTAGAGATACTTCTAAAATGTATAAAAAATTATAGAAAATCTGCACACTAACTTACTTACATTAAATCACTCCTTGAACAAGCTAGCTTGGTACTTACCTGACAACACAACTCTTTGGATCCCCTTCATAGTGCATGCTTTTATATGTCATATTATATTCATTACAGAAAACCTCTTCATCACAGAACACAATCCTTAGGAAACGTCTCCGAACCCCCCTTCAGTAGAGCACATTAACTATTAAAATTAATTTTCCCTTTAAAGTCTTCAAAATGGCCCCAACAGATCTCTCCCCCTGTAATTTGTTCTCCTCTTTTTCTAAGAGATACACTGGCCATGCCTCCAGGTGTGGTTTCACATTCTGGCTAAATCAATCAAAAAGACCATTTCTGCTCTGAGTAAGCCGCTTGTAAAGCTAACCTTGGAAGACAATTGTTTTTCTTCCTGGGTTAGTTCCCTGATGGTTTTTCTTCCTGAAATGGCTTGACAGATGTTTTTCAAATGCAGCATATTAGCAGGTAGTGCTCCTTTCACAAGTACTTAGCCAGCAGATCTGCATAGATGAATGAAGCCTTGTCCTCAATAAAATGCAAATGTCTCCTTATTAGCTTAATTTGACTGCCCAACTAATAATTCATTGCCTCAAGTACTCTGTCCTCTCCTATTACAGCCATTTAAGGCATTCAACCTGTTTCAGCATGAAACACATTTTGTGCCGGAATTTATTGTCTACATCAGTTTTTGCATTAACAAACATACCTGCCACAGTCATCAAGAGGAGGATACAAACTGATTGAAAGTAGATACAAGAGTGTATGACCACTAAGAGGTGAGAAGAGATTTGGGTGGATCTTTCCCCTAAGCATAGTGTAATAGCAGGTAACACTGGATCATCAAACCATACTCTGAGTCATTTGAGGAGGCATTCATGTTATCTTAAAACACAAAAGCCAAAATTCTTAAACTCCAGAGCACAACATTAGGCATTTACACATACCTTTAAATTTACAAGGACTATAATTTTATTTTCAAATGTGCTTTTCACTTTCTCTTGAGTAAAGGTAAGTTGAGCCACTTACTTAGGCACCTCAATATGGATTAAAGGACCTAATTTTAACCTCCCAAATTTGAGAATCCTGGCCATATGCCTATCTATACCTGCTTAGATGCAAGGTCAGTAATATATCTTCATCATGTTTCTCATCATAAAGAGGACAGCTGCAGCTACTGCAGAGAAAGGTCACCCCAATTTATGATTCTCAAGCCTTCTCTCCTTCTCCAGAGTTAATTCAAACATGCATAACATACATAGTGAACATAAATAAGAAATATCATATTAATTTTCATTAAAACTGTATCTTTCTCAAATAACTGGCAAACTTTTAACTTTGTGATTAACCTGTAGACAGAAGGCAGGAGAGGAACCCTTTCAGATCAGTATCTTCAGATCAGGAGTTTTAAAACTGGAATGTGTCGAAGTTCCAAAGAGTACATTAACTTTATGGTCCCCTATTTAGTTTGAGCAGATAATGAGAATTTTCAACAAGTTTATGTTTTGTTAAAACATATTAAATCAAACTAATTGCATTTTACATCAGCCATATACAAGTGTAAATAAATAATGTTTTAACATAAAAATTCAAAAACAGAATGGGCATTAACTGATGATGCAAGCTCATTTGACATTAAAATACATACATATTTTATATATAATTTATATATATATACACACAAAGCTGTTCTTTTCATTTCTTTATATGTGCTAAACCACCACATTTCTCAAGTCAAGGACCGAGGAAACAATTAGCTAACCATAGTCAATGTAAGCCCACAGCAAAGTTCCAGTCATATTGCACTATATAGGTAACTATGTTGGGCCACTCAGGTTCTGACGGTTTCAAAGGACATAACTGTACCTTCATTATGGCACATATCGTTTATGAGGCTTATGCAAGCATAAGAATATCACATGAAAGCACCGAAATTAAAAATCACTCTGCAATACAGTAAGTATTCCAGTGACCCATATTTATGAAAGGAAAAAGCTTTTCAGATTTTTTACTTTTTGGGCAGCCTTCAAGAGAGTCAGCTATCTTAAGCAATAAAACCAGGTTGCAACAAAAGTAACAGATCCTCAAAATCTTCCAATGGAAAAGGAGAATATAAAAGCTAAAGCAAGTCCATAGCCAACATCCTTTAATTACTGTACAACGCTGGTGCAAATCCTTTACTCCTATCCATACATAACAATTATTTTGCTACCACCCTTACAGGACTATAATGTATAATTTTTTAAGCTTTATTTTGAAAAGTCTACTATTTCTTTAGTGATAATTAAAATTTGTATTGTGTTTAGATTTAAAGCACAGTAAGTATGACTTGAGTATTAAATTACATTTAACTGAGAAC